TCTGAAATTAAGCAGGAACATCTGAGAAATCCATTCAGACTGGCCCCCAAAGGGCTAACTGGGGAGCAGACTTTGGATCAGACTTGTCTCACCATTACCCCTTGCTCCTCTTGATTTGGTTTTTTTTATTGTTTTTTTGTTTTTGTAAAATTTAGACTGGAATATTCGCTGGAGGCACAAACTGTGTCTTTGTTATTGGTGAAATTCTGGTCTGATTGAGGGAGTATTGACATTGACTTCAATGGATCCAGCATCTCATTGTATGGCTACATTTAGACTGCACTCTAAAACTGAAATAAGATAGGCAATCTGCGTTACACAAATTGCGCATCTTCTTTCAATTTTATTTTGAAATAGGCTGTTTTGAAGATTGGCACCTCTACACGGCACCAAATTTCAAAATACAGCACTATTTCGAGACATCACTTATTCCTCGTGGAACGAGGTTTACAGGGATGCCGAAATACCATGTCTGTTATTTTGAAAATTATTTAGAAATAGCGAACGCATTCCTTGGATGGAGGGTAGCTATTTTGGGATACCTCCGGTATCCCGAAATAGCCTTGCAGTCTAGACATACCTTCTACGTTTGCCCAGGTCTTAGCACAGTGGATCTCATGCATCTAGGTGCTATGGAATACAAATAAATAGTAACAATATAACATAGTGTGTCCGAGTATCCATTACTCTTCCATTTTATTCACAGAGTCTGCACCTGGGTTCTCTTGCACTGCACTTGGAGGTGGTTCTTTATACCAGTACAATGGGCTTGAGACCATAATCAGAACATAGCATTTTCAACTCCCTTTGAACTCGTATAAATGTCTGCACAAGATTCATGGCAGTGTTAAATCAAGCCCAGTAGGTTTACATTTCCCTACGTCTTCCTTTCACTCTTCAGAAACAAAGCTAAATGGCAGATTCGAAATAAAATAATCAAATAACAAAACCAATGTTTTTCAAAAAGAAAAAGAAAAGCTCCCCATCATTTTGGTGACTAGGTAAATGTTTCTACAAGCTAAGTGAAAGAGTTTACAGTGGTAATTTCATCAATCTGAGGTTATGACTTATGCATTTTGTTGAGTAGTTGACTAATGCTTTATGCATGCACAAGAGCTAATTGTATCTGGGCCTGTTGTTCTGGAGGTGTATTGCCATATGTTTGGTATATACTTAATTAACATAGTACAGCTGCACTTCTATCCATCTGTATTATAGATTAGATTTCTATTCCACTTCTAGGCAGGAGTCCCACAATTCATATTTATTAAAATAATTACCCCAAGAACATGATGGCTGGGAGGTACTCAGCCAAGCAGCCCAGCATTACTTTTCACTAGGCATGCTTATTTGGTTATGAAGCGTAAATGAACAGTGTGAATATACAAGTACTTGGCATGCATGCAGTCAGAACGCCAGCCTGCAGATAGGGGTTAATCCAAGGCCTGCTGAGCATTGTTGACAGACACTGGCTCTTGAGGAATGAAATCTGCTGAAGTACGACTTGTCAGTACAGGTTGAACTTCTCTAGTCCGGCACCCTCGGGACCTGGCCGGTGCCAAACCAGAGAATTTGCCGAACCACGGGAGGTCAATATTGTATAGCAGCAATACCAACACTTCCACTGTGTGCTGAGCTCTTAGAAGACATGTAGGGGTAAATTTGAGCTAAATCACAGCACAGAACCCTGAGAGCCAGGACTAGTGGCTGCAATCAGACTTTATGGGACCATGAAAAACTTGGCCACACCCCTGATTAGTGGACATCTGGTTAACTAAAATCATGCCAGATCACAGATGTTGCTGGACCAGAGAATGCCAGACTAGAGAGTTTCAACCTGTACACTCATTTCCAACCCTCCTCCCTTCCAGACTACTCCTTTTTATATTTCCACCCACATCACCATTTTATTCTAAATAGTTAACTGATTTGGATTTAAAATTTGTTTACCAGACCTTAGCTCCATTTTGTTATGGATCAGATATCCCGAAAATACACATGCCTCTGCTTGTTTTTACGCATGCATGGAAACTCAAACACATGTGCAAATTGCATTTGTACATGCAAGTTGGGGAGATTTCTAATCACTCAGTTGTGTTGTACATAAAGGCAGCCTGTACGTACGCAAAACTGTTTTTTTTCTCATGCACAGAAATTCAGTAATGAAAAAAACAAACAAACAGGTGGGCCAAATGTTGCGTGTGTGAACTAGACATAGTCTTGAAACCCAAAGTTTGGACCCAGATTCCAATTCCAATTCCAAGTTTAGAAGTCAGGGGTACTTGAATCTGGAGTTCTGACTTGGACTTTTCTCTGGTGGGAACATGTCATAAGAACATAAGAATGGCCACACTGCATCAGACCAAAGGTCCACCTAGCCCAGTGTCTGTCTGCTGACAATGGCCAATACTAGGTGCCCCCAAAGGGAATGAACAGAACAGGGAATCATCAAGAGGTTCCATTCTGTTACCCATTCCCAGTTTTTGACTAACAGAGTCTAGGGCTACGTCTACACTATGACTTTTGTTGCAAGAGCCTAAGTAATTGAAGGCCAGATTAGCATTTTCCTGTGCTTCATTTGCATACTCTCTGTCATTCCATTTCTGCGCTAGGGGGTTTTGTGCAAAAACAGGCAGTATGGACTTTTCCTTTTTACGCAAAAATCCCCTTTTTGCTCAAGATAAATGAAATGAAAGAGAGTATGCAAATGAAGTGTGGGAAAATGCTAATCCACACTTCATTTGCATATGCTCTTGCAGCAAAAGTCATAGTGTAGACATAGCCTAGGGAAACCATTCCTACCCATCCTGGCTAGTAGCCATTGATGGACCTAGCCTCCATGAATCTATCTAGCTTCATGAATTTATCTAGCTTTATGAATGTATCTACCTCCATGAATTTATCTAGCTTGGATCATATCCGTAAAGATCTTTCTCATGTTCGTTCTCCCCTCTCTGGCTAGGTATTTTAAATTAATCAACATGACTGAAGAAGTAATCTGATGAATTAAACCCCAGATTCACAGAATTATAGGGAGCAGCTGCATGTCTGGGAGTTAATCAATCTTACTTCTTTTGTCGATTCATGAAGTCAACAGTAATTTTACAAACAGAACAACAGACGGTTATGCATTTGTTGTGGGATTACACCACTTCTCAGAGGGGGAATAAGCCTGTCTTTAGCTCCATGTGCCCCAGGAATATATTCTATTACACAGCCACTTCATATATACTCAGTTAGCAATGGGTACTATTTATTACATATCAGACTGAATTAATAACCAATCACCCGTATAGTTGCATGCCAGAAAGGGAAAACCCCGGGGTTCCACGAAACAAAAGTAAGGGTTCCGCGAGAATGTGGCACTCCTCCACCCCCTCTTAAAGAGACAGAGTCTATTTTGCAGCTTTTTATTTTTTATTTTTTGCTTGACCAGTTCTGGTGGGTCTTTTTTTTTTTTTTCTTTTTCTTTTTGTTTGACAGATTTTACCCTGGGAACCCTAGGGGTTCCTTGAAATTCTTTCAAGTTGAAAAGGGATCCGTGGCCAAATAAAATTGGGAAACACTGGCTTAGAGCATATAGACAATAGCACCGTCATAATACAGTCTGCTAAGTATCACATTCCACGGTTTCATGTTCCTGATTCCTGGCCAGTTAGTACCAAGTGACCACTAGAAATAGGACTGAGATCACTAGTTATTTCAAGCAGCTAAAACAGAGATATCTGCTGCCTGGCTAATACTTCGCTTGTTGCCTGATGAGAAAGATGCCGTGGATCAAATTTCCCAAAGGGGTTCCAGCTGGCTTCTAAACCTGCATCTGTACTTTTAGAAGTGCAGATTTATGGTGGGGCCACTGCTCTGCTTATTCAAACCTCAGCTATGTGCACAAGTTGCACTGGAGCTTGCAAGTCGAGTAGATTTTGAGCCGCTCTTGTTGTAGGTCCTTTGCGCCCAGCGCCCATGCTTGGGGGTAAACTGCCGTTTGACTGCTCATCACCTGCTGCTTTCTCCTATCTCTACCTGTGACCCTGCAGCCGTAGTATGCTCAGGCCTTGCCTCAGGCTCTGCAGCCTGGGAGTGAGGTTAGATCAGAGTGCCCCTGCCCTTCTCTGTCTCAAGAAGCCTCCAGCTTCCCTGCAGCCAGGTCCCTCCCAGCTCCCCAGCTGGAGCAAGAGTGTGTCTGTCTCCACCTCACCAGGAGCCTTTATTTACCCTGCCCTCAACTGGGCCCTAATTGTTTGCACAGCTTCACTGCTCCAGCCCTCTCCCCAGTTTTAATCCTGAAAGGGCCAGTGCGGGGCAGATGCCCTGTCACAGAGCCAAAGCCAGTGGCACCAACGGGAAGGGGAGAATACAAGGCTGACATTTACCTGGCTCCATATTATACTTACCTTGTCTGTGCTATGCTGCCTAATGTCTAGCAGAGGTTCTGAACTATTAGTCAATGTTCCTCATCTATGCAGCTTGGGCATCAGATAATAATGGCTTGTCTCCAGTTTTCATGGGCAGTGACATTCGCTGTCATCACTCTGCAAAACAAAACAAAACAAAACAAACATAAGAAGTTGAGGCTTTCTAAGAGCAGGCCCCCGAAGGAGAGGGAGTTGACATGTCTAGACAGGATTCAAACCAGAGCAACCACATTCAGACCAGCCAGAGCCATACCTGTGCTCCGAATGGCAAAACATAATCCCTTGTGCCTCAAAAAAGGAGGAATACAGGATCTTGCGCAAAAGGGATTTTTTGTGTGCAAAATGGCCCCATCTACACTACTTTTTTGCGCAAAAACCTTTTCTGCAGAAAGGATCAGAAGATACTATGCAAATGAGAGCGTGAGAAATGCTAATGAGCACTTCATTTACATTGCCTCTGCTGACAAATTCCTGCAGTCTAGATGTAGCCACAGTGTGGCTTGACATTTGCAATGTAGCTGCATCTGGTTGATGAGGAAAAGACCTACGGAGGAATGGAAATAATATATCCAGGAACCAGGTTGTGGAGGGTTAGCCTGTCAATATTTGCTTTTTCCTCAGGTTTCTGAGTACAGCAACTCTGGGAGGAGGGGAATAAAATGTTACTTCAGCTTCAGATGATATTAAGGGACCAAATTTAATGGTGCTGCAAATCTAAGAGATGGAGGGAGAATTGCTTGGTCACTTTGAATCAGCTGCTTTACTAGCCCTGCTGCCTAGCATATTAACTTAGACATTTCCAACTTCCCAGCTGAAGAATGTTGGCTGTTTTTATGTTTAGATTTGAATTATAATAGAGTCGCTCTGGCTGGAGGGCAAAGATAGGGAGACGTCTGGAAAATATGCACAGATCATTGACTTCTGACTGGTTTTCTTCCAGGGATTTTCAAAAACACAAAGCAAACAAAAAAAACCCGCCAAACCCCAATGTCGTTGACTATTAAAAAGAAAATAAACCCAGCAGAGTTTGCTGGAGAGGTAAATGCAGTTTCACTGAGCCATCCCGCAAGCCAGAGCGCAGATGTGGCTTTGTGCATTTGAGCTGTACAAAAATCGCCAAACCCACAGAAGCAGGTTTAGGGGATTTTATCCATGCGTCAAATCCCTCACGTGACGCAACATGCTGCTAGACCTCAGCTGCAGGAAGTTATCCAAAGTGGTGACTGTCACCCTTGGGAAGGGACCTCTCTAAGAATAGCTTTAAAGTCTCTCCCAGACATTTCTTTGTATGTGTTCTTATAGGTAATGAAAATGCCATTCCCTGCTGTGCAAACAATGCTCTGTGAGCAACCTGGCAGGAGGTAAGTACCAAAATGGTGGTGCTATCTTGTTGAGATTCCACAATCTCCCTAGGCAATTTATTCCAGTGTTTAACCACCCTGACAGTTAGGAAGTTTTTTCCCATGTCCAACCTAAACCTCCCTTGCTGCAGTTTAAGCCCATTGCTTCTTGTTCTATCCTCAGAGGCCAAGGAGAACAATATTTCTCCCTCCTCCTTGTAACACCCTTTTAGGTACTATCATGTCCTAAAGGTACACACTTTTAGCTGCTATCATGTCCCCCCTCAGTCTTCTCTTTTCCAAACTAAACCAACCCAATTCTTTCAGTTCCCTCATAGCTCATGTTTTCTAGACCTTTATTCAATTTGTTCCTTTTCTATGGACCTTCTCCAATTTCTCCACCTTTTTCCTAAACATGGTGCCCAAGACTGGACACAATCCTCCAATTGAGGCCTAATTGGCCCAGACTAGAGCAAAGTATTACTTCTTTCATGATGTTCCACTGTAGAATGACATTCTATTTATTGGCCAAATTCTCAGTTGGTATCTATGTGGGGGTCACTTACCTTGGCACTTTCTTACAAACTCAAAGAGCTTTCAACTGTTCCTTTACCCAGCACAATCCAATCTCCTGGCCTTTGTCTAGAGAGATGAGACCAATAATTGTGACAAACTCAGAACTCAAGC